GCCGCTAACCTGAAGTTCCACGACAATCTACAGTGCCGTATATTGACGAAAATCCCACTTTTCATGCAGTGACAGAGCGTTCTGAGCAGCTGTCTCACTATGTGCTGTGGAGGCTTCAGCGCCTCAGACTGGAAGAAGGTGAGGAGAGTGGTGAGAACAGCAGAGAAGATCATCAGGGCTCCTCTTCCCTCCATTAAAGATAACTCATCCCAGTGCTGCGTGTCCTGAGCCCGTAACATCATCAGTGACCCCTCACACCCCTACCATGGTCTGTTCTCCCTGCTGCACTCTCGGAAGAGGCTTCGCAACATCCGATGCAGGTCCAACAGATTTTGCAACAGCTTTTTGCCCACTGCCATCAGACAGCTGAACTGTTGAAAAAACTCTAAATCGAGTCACAGATTCTGCATCACATTGATAACATCAAACCAAAGAACTGCTTTCCTGCACCATATATATTTGTCTTGAAATGTTATGAACTTCCATATTAATGCTTTTTTGCACCATGTTTTTCTCCCACACTGTTTACATTTGAACACTAATGCAGTTTATGGATTGGAAATGTTCCTTTCACTGATAAGCTGCTGCTCATTTACTGTCTGAAAGCTGTACAAAATGAAATTTTGAATCATATGCAGTTTGTGTGCAAAATTAAAGTATACAAAGTCACACACACACCAGAGACTGATCCAATGTTGATGTAATGTCATTTAAACAGGTAAAAAGGAAGTTTAGTATTGTATGTGGCCTCCAAATGCCTTTATAACCTCCCTACAATGCTTGGTCTTCTCCTCCCAGACGTGGAAAGCCTCCACCAACTTCTTGACAGTCTGCTGTGTAATGTGACTTGTTTGGATGGATCAAGACATGATTTCCCAGATGTGCTCAATGTGACTTAGGTCTGGTAAACAGACGGGCCAGTCCATAGCTTCAATGCCTTCATCTTGCAGAAACTGCTAACACACTCCAACCACATGAGGTCTAGTATTGTCCTGCATTAGAAGGAACCAGGAACCCAGGG